CTCCAACCTTTCCTCCGAACCGTTGAAGCTTGAGGGAAGAATTCAGGGTTTAGGGGTTTGGGTTTAGGGTTTAGGGTTTAGGGTTTAGGGTTTCGGGTTTAGGGTTTAGGGTTTCGGGTTTAGGGTTTAGGGTTTAAAGCTTTAATTTAGTATGGGGCTCTTCATCTATAGGGCTCGATAGAACAATCGTATGTTGTATAAGATTTCCCATTTCTGGCCCGGGGTTTGAACCACTGAGGTCTGTGCACGGTCTCGTCGGCCACATCTACGCGCTTCATTCCAAGCATTTCGAACTTGGCGAAGTACCTTCGGGACACTGCCAGAAGTTTCATGTTCTTTCCTTCCTAGAAAAGCAAGGTTGGAAGCAGCTCACATACTTGGAAGTAAGGTACAGTATAATCTCGTGCATCTAGGCATGAACCTGTAAGCCATATTCCTACGCAGCAGAATCCTTACGCCTGTCACCTCTGAACTTAGATCCGAAAGCCCTCGACCACTTATACCCTATGCCGTGACTTCGCGAACCCCCACAGAAGCCGCACGCCCCCATTCTTGGGATTTCGTAGGGTTGAGACTGCAAGCTTTTTTGGGGGGTAGGTGGTTGGATTTGGTGGCAACAACAACTTCCAACACTCGAACCGGGGCGTCCCATAGGACAAACACGCAGGAGCGGCAGCCTTGACGCAAGCAGATGAGCATGTAGAGACCGAGCAAGAGGAGCTGTTACTATTGTGTTCGTGAGCAGTATGTTTCTCAGCACAGTTAGTGTCGTGGTTCGTGTGCATGTTGCGATGGTCATTTCATAGTTTTCTTGCTGATGCCATTGTTCATCAATACCTGAAAGGCATGTTTTATCATTCAATCCCAGATTGGTATACAGAGTCGCATGGCAGCGCATTGGTTCAATGCGCTGCCATGCGACTCGTAATCCCAATCTGGGGCTTGAGGATATCTTATTAGCCTTAGCGCCAAGGGGTGTTCAAGTTTGATTTTCGGTTCTTCGATCATGGAGCGGGCGGGACAGTTGAGGCCCGGCTGGGTCTTACCGGATGGCCCGAAGCTCTAATCCAAGAATGTTTGGAGTTTAGATACTTGCACAGAACATATGAGCAACCCCTACTGCAGGACTTATATAAAGAGAATTACTGTAGGACAATCGCCACGCTTCGGGTGTGAGGTTGCGATGGTCTTGCGTTTGCTGACGACACATAGGCACCATCTAGGATTCATCGTGCTCAATAAAATATAATTTGTGAGGCTTCGGTACCCCTAAATCCCTCAAGATAGAAATCCTTAACCCCGAAAGTGCCCTAAGCCCAAAACCCCTACTCCGCAGCTCTGCAAAATCCAGCTGCCTCAGCCTGTCATCCTACTTATAGACTCTACAAATCCCCGGGGCCCTGAAAAGGGTTTAGGGCTGAGGCGGGTTATATAAGGGTTTTGGGCTCTTCGCTGGCATCAAACCCACACCCCGAAGCCATGCACCCGCCACGCGAGAGTACACTTACAACTTACATCGCATCCTCCAGTATCACCGGACCTCCACAATATGATTATCCTTGTCAGTGACCCTAAACCCTAAACCGTAAACCCTAAACCATATTATCATTGCTATGATTCATCCTATTGTTTACTACTATTCTTGATACTATTCTACATGCAGGCTGAATCCTTCCCCCAAACCCTAAACCGCAAGAGCTCACAGCCGACTATCGGTCTTAATATTTCCACAGCCGACTATCGGTCTTAATGTTTCCTATAGGTTTGTGGAGTTTTTGCGGTGTAATCATGTCGTAAGGAAACCTCAGGCATACTGTTACCCCTACTGTTTCTTCTATACTTCTCCTGCCACTACTACGCAGCGCCCGCTTGGCGCCTAAGCGCGCTGCAGCACCCAAAAAGCAGAAAACGCTCTAAACACCAGGCTGGACCAGGCTTTATCAGCTTTTGGGATGCTCGGATTATGAACGAACGCTATTAATTATCCCCCCCCCCCCACCACCACGTCCGCACCCCCCCAAGCAGTGCTACTAGCACCACTATTCCCATTACTACTACTGCTGCTGCTGCTGCTGCTGCTGCTGCTGCTGCTGATGCTGCTGCTGTTGCTACCACCACTACCACTACTGACACTACTGCGTATTAGGATTACCTAGTTGTATTCAGGCCCCTAGATTAAACTCACAATGCCAAGCCAAAAGCAAGGAGCTTCCCAAGGCCAGGGTGAAGAACGGCTCGACCACGATTGTCTCCTTCAGCGTTTAAGGGTAGTATGTCTCACTTACGATGTAGAGTTTAAAGTTCAGGGTCAGGGTAGTATACTTTTGTGGGGTATTGGGTTTAGGGAAGGTTTTAGAGTTTCGGCCTTTGGGGGGGGGGGGGGGGGGAGTAATTAGTGGTTTAGGGCTCAGTGTGTATTTGTATTGTCGGGTTGTGTGGCTAAGAGGCTTCCAGCGCTAGATAAACATACATCCATCCATCCCCCAACATCTAAACTTATCTCGAATCCTCTGATTCTTCCTAAAGCCTTCCCTGGCTCAATGTGGATGCCGGAAAAATTCTCAATGTAATTGCAAGGGATTCCGCAATTTTCTGCTGGTCTTAGTATGATTGTATGCTACACCCCGGAACCCTATTCTAATGTTTCAGGCACCTATATCAAAACCTGTTTGGAGCCCTTGACAGAACCATTTATCCATCCAAACGGACAGACAGATAGACAGACAGAC